TCCTGCCAATGTCGGGGGCCAGGTTCGCCGATGTGTTTGTATTGGTGTGCAAGATGCTGGAGAGAGGCCATCTGCCCTGCGTGTCAGATTCCGGATTCCATATGGTTATGGCAGGGTTTGGGAGAAGTATCCACAGAGCTAGGGGCAGGATTAGAATAAAGAGGTGCTAATAGTGTGCAGTTGGGAAGGTAAAGGAAACTGTCGGGAACTTGATGGAAAAAGAGGGTTGAAGAAAATTAAAAGGCGATCAGAGGAAATAAAGAAAAATATAAGGGAAAAGACAAACATCACTGTTGTTTTAAAGGTCAAAGAGTAACAATAATATAGAAAGGCTCTTTCGCCTTGCCAGATTCAACAGTGAGTTGCATTTTGGCTTCTTCAATAAAATTTACACCATTGGGTTCTTGCACTCTCCTTCCAGCTTCCAGGCTCTGTCTTCCAGGCATGCCCACCCCACCTGAAGCAGCTATTTCTTTTCCAGACCCTACACATCTCCACAACCCTTTGTCAAGGTTGAGTTTTTACTTATAGATGAAATCTGATTATCTAGCAGTAATTTTCTGAGGTCAATCTCCTCACCTTTCTTTATCAGCCTAAGTCCATATTACTAGATGTTCTGAAGAAAGACTCAGGTCAACTAGATCTTGCTCTGCAATAATTCAAGTTTTATTGTTCAAATATATGTGTGTGTATATACATATATGCATATATATATCTTTACATAACATATACATATATATTGTATATGTGTGTATATACATATATGTATGTGTGCCTCTGTGTGTTTAAATATAAATAAATATAACTAAGACTTGCAGGAGTTTTAAAATCTATCAGATCACACATTTCTTCATCCAAACAATAAATACTCTTTGATGAGCCATGACACTGCATTCTTATGTGTCCTCTTTAAGAAACAGTATGAAGTTAGATGGTTCAAAATAAACAACTAAACGACCAACAAATGATACCAGACTAGAGGAGGCAACTAAGCATTTCTTTTCTAGGCTCTGAGACAAATTTCAGGTACTATCTTCTATCAATTTCATTTTATCCTCTGCCTTGGGAAATTCCACTCATTCTTTAAGTCTGATTTGTATGATTTTACAGAGTCAGGAAGGCACTAGAAGGAAGTGGGTCAGGAAGGAAAAAAGGATGACCCAGAAAGGTAGGTCAGAAAGGAGGGAAGGGAGAAATTTAGTATTTATCAAGTTCCATGAGAGCAAAGACCCTGTGTGTCTTTTTCACCTTGGTACCTAGAACAGGACCTGGTGAATGGGAAGGTGCTTGACAGGTGCATGCTGGATGAAGGAAATTACTGATGTTGTACTGTATGCTGAGGGTCATGCTGGATGCTTTTAAAAAGAGTACTGAACAAGTGGGCAATACAGAGTAACTCAGCAAAATGACATGTCCTTCTTCGTATAAGAACGTGTATTTCCTGAGGTAGTATCTTCAGAGCTTGGGCTCATGCGAGGTTGTGGTCCCAACATCTCAGAGGGCAAGGCAAGGGTAAGTAATAATCTAAGGCAGGGCCAGCAATTTATTGCTCCTGGGCCAAGTCTGGCCTGTAGACTGTTTTTGTATAACCCAGGAGTTAAAAACGGTTTTTACATTTTTAAAATGGTTGTAAACAAAACAAAGAAAACCAGACATCAGAAACCTATGTGGCCTGTAAAACCCCAAAATAGTTATTATCTAGCTCTTTACAGAAAAAGTTTGCTGACCCTTATTCTAAGGAGATACTAAGCATGTGCTTCTGAACTTACTTTTAGTCTAAAGTGTGTTTGGCTTATACTTGCGTTCAACCATGGCAAGACTGCAGGCCTGTGGTCTGTCAGAATGTTCTGTGAGCAATCTGGAGCCACACCTACCCAGACACACACACTCGATATGCTTCATCCAAGCTTAGAGCAGCTCTGTAGCACTGTTTTAAAGGGTGGGTACCTTTGTTAACTCATGCTGGGTGATGTGACTCTTTTGTAGGTGTTTCCTACTAGATTTTCTGTGTAGAGTTTTATAGCACAATTAAGTCCCCTCCTAGAATATCTGTGTGGCAAAATCATAAAGGTGCTGCTTTGGCCTATTGGTGTAATGGTGAGAGAGCTTTGTTACGGAGTTTTGAATTAACCTGGAATCTAGTTGAAATACTAGAGAAGCAACTTAATTACCTCTCTTCTATCCTTCACTAAACCTGGGACATGTTTGGTCATTGTCTCTGATTATTTTCTTTTCTATTTTTCCCCTCCTCCCCTTCTCTGACTCTAATTACTCTTATGTTAGAATGCCTGATATTATCCCACAGATCACTGAGTCTCTGTCATTGTCAACAATCTTTTCTTTCCGTTTTCCAGACTGGGTAATTTCTATTCTTCTACCTTCAAGTTTGTTGATCTTTTTTTCATCATCTGCTGTTAGGCCCATCAAAGTGATTTTTTAAAAAAAATTTCAGATACTGTGTTTCTTGGTCCTAAAATTTGGTTCATTTTTAGAGTGTCTCCTTTTTGTGCTTAGATTTCCTATGTGTTCATTAATTGTCACTATATTTTTTCTTATGTCTTTGAGCACAATTATAATAGCTGCTTCAAAATTCTTGTCTGCTAATCTCAACATATGTGTAATCTTGGAGTCATTAATGTATGGATCACATTTTTCTGATTTTTTTTTTCTATGTCTGGTAATTTTGGACTGTATCCTGAACATTGTGAATGCTATGTTAATCTATATCAGTGCCGTTCAATAGAATTAAGACATCAGCCATAGATGTAATTTTAATTTTCTACCACCCATATCAAAAAATTAAAAGGAGGGGTGCCTCGGTGGCTCAGTCATTAAGCGTCTGCCTTCGGCTCAGGTCATGATCCCAGGGTCCTGGTATGGAGCCCCGCATCCGGCTCCCTGCTCCGCGGGAAGCCTGCTTCTCCCTCTCCCACTCCCCCTGCTTGTGTTCCCTCTCTCGCTGTCTCTCTGTCGAATAAATTTTTAAAAAATCTTTAAAAATAAAAAATAAAAAAATAAAAGGAAACTGGTGAATTTAATTGTAATAATGTGCTGCATTTGACCCAGTGTGTCCAAGGCATAATTATTTCAACATGTAATCAGTATTAAAAATTACTAAGATATTTTACAATCTCTTTCCATACTAAGTCTTTGAAATCAGGTGTATATTTTTACTTTTACAGCACATCTCAATTTGGACTAGCTAGTGGCTACCAAATACGGTATGTGATCAGCACAGTTAAGAGTATCATTGTGAAGAATATTGAGGGTTGGTCCAATAAAAGCAACCCCATCATTATGGAAAGCAGAGTCCCTAACAGTTTTTAAACTTTATTCCTTGGTCCATTCCTTGGGCCTACTGTGATATGAGGGAGGGCAGAATGCGCTGGGCTACTCTTCCACATCACATATGTGTCTCAATTCAATCAGAGCAACTCTGATTTCATGTTTTATGTTATTTGGTTTATGTGCATAATTTAAGATATCTTTGGACACTAAAATAGTTTGAAATCATAAATGATCTTAAAATATGATTCTTGAAGGGATCCCTAAGATCTTTCTTGCTTAGTCATGCCCTTGAGCCCATGTTGACACCCCCTCTTCTAGATTTACTTATCCTACTTTCTAGTTGGTCACAGAGCTGAGCTGTCTCTGTGGGCTGTTGGATCTTTGGGTCGTCATAGAGGCAAGGCCTTCCTTCTTTGACCCTGGGTGTGTGTCATCAATTGATGAGTCTGTGGGATGGCTGCTCAGAGCCAAGATGCTCAAGAAGACTTCCCAAAGTGAGTTGTTCCTCATGGCCTTCAGGGTTAGGGTAGAATGTCATTCTTTTGTTTAAATTGAAGTATAATTAATATACAGCATTATATTAGTTTCACATGTACAACATAATGATTCTGTACTTTTATATATTACCCAATGCTCCCCACAATAAGTATATTCACTTTCTGTCACCAGACAACACTGCTACCATCTTACTGACTATATTTTCTATACTGTCTCTTTCATCTCCACGACTTACTTATTTTGTAACTCAAAGTTCATACCTCTTAATCCCCTTCACATTTCACCTGCCCTCCCACCCACCTTCATTCTCAATTTGCTAAGGACCACACACAACCAATGAAGTAAGTCTCACCTCTTGCTTTCCCTCCTATCTTCCCTCTCTTCCTCTCTTGCTCGCACACTTGACCAGTTTGACAAAGCAAAGTGGGTTGGCATGAAAGCCACATGCTTTGTGAAACTTTTGCACCAGGCAAGAGGCCCAAGTTGAGCTTAAAGAACTGCCATGTCAAAAGTCCAGCTTCTTTATAGAAGAAAAACATGCACAGAACCACAAAACAAAAACCATGACCTCAACCCAGAGCAGAATAGGAGGCCAGGGGTGATATTACACACTTTACCAACCACACTACGATGCGAAGTCTCACTGAAATGACCGGAAATAAGAAAGCTTAACTAATGAGCACATTTCACACGATTCATCTCGGTTGACAGCCCAAGAAAATTCACTTCAGAGCAAGTGAAGTATTATGGCCATGGAATCCATCAGAAGTTCTGATGGATTCTATGCAATGAACACCAAGATCCACACTCACTGGTATAAGTTTCAGCCACCTAAACAGACCCATCACAAACACTAACCTGTGCGAGTTACTCATGGGTGCTCACACTCTGTGATTTCCTTTTTTTCCAAGACAAAATAACTGGGGGGAGCCAACATAGATCAGTTGAAAGTATGCAATGATTTTGTTCTCCATGAGATGTTCTTAGGGGCCTGCTAAAAAATGCCTTCTAGCTAGGATTATACATTTTTTCAGAGCTCTGACTTCATAGTCAGAAATTCAGTATTTTGAGCAAGCAGAAACGACTTAGCAACAACAACAGAACACGGTGCAGAGTCGTACTGCCTCCACGCCAACCCCCCTCCCCCCCGCCCCATGCATGGATGTTTTTGCCCTGACCCTGGAGGGTCCAAGCTTGAGAACACAGCTCCTTACCGTGACTGGCACGGATGTGAGTTGCACCTTCGGACCTGGGGCTCTGGGCGGCTTGCTTGAGGACAGTCACTGTCATTCACCAGAGTCGTGGTCTTATTAACAATCCGCGTGCAGGACACGATGGTTCTGCGTTCCCCTGGAAGCCAAACCACAGGGAACTGAGAAGCTTGTGGCTACACACACCTGGAAAGGCCATCCACGGATGCAGATGGAGGAGCATGCGGGGGCATCTTTTGACCAGTCTGTCATGTGAAGTGACTGTTATCATGCTTTATTGGTTGTTAGAGAGAAAGAGCCATAATGTTAGGGATGAGGGTGTGTAAGACATGGCAGGGGCAGCATGGGGCAGGAGGAAGATTCTGGAACAGGATTGGAAAAAGGCAACACCACAGATTGGCTGTGTTCTTGGACAGCTTGGGATTCACAGAGGCCAAAGTTCTGATTTGGGTCTTCAATTTCCAACAAAGATTGCCAATCTCTTTATCTGTTCTTTTGATATTTAAAGTCTATTGAGGTCTGGTCTTGATTAAATACCTGTACATCAGTCCTCACCAGAGATCATAGCTACTTATTAGAGAATCCCTCCAGAATCGCGGGACAGCAGTGAGAAGCAGGGAGGTTGGTCTGAAGGACACACAGACCTGCCTCCTCCAGGCGGGCAATCTAGAGCCAATCTGAGAATTTGTTTAGCTGGCCAAAGGCTACATGTCCTCAGCATCACCTGCATTTGGGGACTTCACTAACTGGTTACCCTAGATGAGGGTAGCCATTCTCTGTGTGTCCCCAGAGCACCCTACACGCTGCTTGGTCATGACTTTGCCAGGGAGGCGGATGATTGGGAGCTAGAGAGGGTGGCTTCTGGAGCCAGGCTGGCTGGTTTCAAACTTGGTTTCATCACCGGCATAATGACCACAGGATCAACAGCTAGCCGCCATGATTCTGTGCCTCAGTTTCCTCAACCAGGCTGGTTCACTTAACCTCCCTGTGCCTTAGGGGTAAGTCATTTGCTAAAATATGGCGGCAAATCACAAAGCCAGGACTCATGCTCGGAATGTTTCCCTGGCCTCGTGGGACTCTTTCTTTCCACCGCATCCTGTAGTGGGGTACCTGTGGCCAAGAGGAAAGAGAATTTGGGGGCAAAAGCATCTGGAGGCCCTCCACTAAACGCGAACAGGTGAAGGTGTATTCTGTTCACCCCCAGGGTCACTTCCCTGTCATACCTGTGATGTACCCGTACAGGGGCCAAACCTCCACTCAGGGCAGAGTCCGAGGGCCCTGCACCATAGGCAAAGCAGCTGTGTGGGCACAGGGGTGTGGAGGACTGCGTGAGTGTCTTGCAGAGAGAATTGCAGTGGGACGTGGGTAAGTTCCCGTGGAAACACAGGTGACATGGCCAGCTCTTTTCATGCCCTGTGTGCCGGCCACAGGGTGCCCCGAGTTCGTGCCTTCCTTCAGCAAGACCCCACACCCAGCGGACCCGTGACTCCGGCTGCTCACCTCCTCCACACTGCACGCTGCACCCTTCCCAGCCGCTGTGGGTCCAGATGAACAAAGAGTCCTGGGGTTTTTCGGGTTCACTCTGATTTTCCGCAGTGTAGTTGACAGGAACAGTGTACTCGTAATGGATTCCATAATTTTGGTCATGAAATAACAGCACCTGGATCAGCAGTACAAATCAAAGGTCGTTTTGAAATGGAGAAGAACCCCACAGCCTTGCTGAATTTGCAAACTAAGCCACACTGTGGCCGTCTCCCTACTGGGGTAACCAGGTCTTTTCCGGGTTTCTAGAGGGGTTCGTTCTAGGGGTGCTCCCTTATTTCAGTCTCAGGTTCCTCAGAGACTCAACTCAGGGGCAGGAGTGTATGCGGACCCTCAGCAGGGAGCTCTGCTCTCTCTCCCACTGGAGAAAGGACCAGTTTAGATGAGGACTTCGGGGAGGAGCAAGTTTGTGGGCTCTCAGGTGGCGTTTTATAGGGAGAGCTGCTCCCCACAGCGCAAAGAACCCGTCCCACATACTCAGCCACGAAGCTGCCCTTGCAGGCAAGAAAGACACAAATATGCGGCTTTGACCTAAAAAGGCATCTGAACAGGTAGGGTTACTCTACTCCTTTGAAAATGAACATCACTCTTCAGTCCCCAAGCACCAGCCCTTGCTACATGTAAGGCAGGCTCACGGGCAAACACAACCCCACCGCACAGGAATCTTGGGGACTTCTGCTGAGGAGTCCAGGGGTGCCTGAGCCTTCTTGACGCCACAGGAGCTAAGATGGTGATGCCCACAGGGTGGCAGGGGCGTGGCTCAAGGCTTAAAACTAGAGTGAGAGGGTGGGGAGCCAACCTGCCGCTTGGGGACGCTTGGGTCTGAAATCCTGGTGAGTGAGCAGATGGATGGGTCTGCCCTTTGTTTGGCAATCTGCGTACAAGCCCTGTAAGGACAGAGATGTTCTACCAGTATTATTTTTCCATGTGTAATTGTGCAAAACAAGCCCTCTGGGGGGAGCCTGGCTGGAGGTGATGGGTCTTCAGGCTAGACTTGGAACCATTGGGCACTCCTGGGTCAAGGCTGTGATCAAGTTCCCTTCCAGGCCTGGAAGAGTGTGTTCCACCTGCCCTGACCTGGGGAGGTCCCCATGCTGCCCCTGAGAATCTCTCAGCCCTCCAAGGGCTTGAGTTGCAGGGTGGGGGTGAGGTGCTAAGAGCAGCCTGAACCGCATAAACACCCACTTCTCCAAGAAACAGACTTGCAGTAATGCATTTGGAAAAATGCCTCCAGTTTTAAAAAAAACAAAAAACCTTCTTTAAAAGGTCTTTATTATCTCAGTGTGGGAAGAAGACTGGTGCATCAGGAATCCATATGAAACCAATTTCATGCAATTTTGTAGCCACGTATAATTTGCGTGTGTGAGTGTGTAATTGGTTTCAAACGCAGGTTCCCGTGGCTCTGCGGGTGCTCCTGACCCTGCAAGCGATGTACGCACCCCAGTTTGGGAATGATGGACACCTATGTAGAGGCAGAGGGGCACCTCTCATTTCTAGGTTTAAAAACTTGAACTAATCATTATTTCAAGAGATAAAAGTGATTAATATTAGAGAGGGCTGGGACTTCGGCTGAGTTTAGTGTATCAGGCATGGTCTGAATGAATCCGGGCTGTGCATTTGCTTTAATGGGCTGACAGTTCCCTCACAGTTTAGGAAAGCTTTGGGCAAGAGAGGGAAATACACCCATCCTAGGGTTTGCTAGAGAAAGCCAATTCACGTGCTAACAGGTGAATTGGCTGCATGGTTTGATCTTTTTTTTTTTTTTATCTTGTCTTATGCTTCTTCTTGTAACCCCTTTTAAATCAGGACAGGCGGATTTGTTCTAATGCCTTAGACTAGGACATAATCTCATCACAGGGCGGTGGCTTAGGGACAGGTCCTTGGATCCCAGAAATCAAATGTGCGGGGCTACGTTGGCCGTGGATTTAGTGGGCTGAGTGTGGCAGTCACAGGTTTATGGATGGCTGAAGCCAGGCATGGAAACCAGTTCCCTCTGCTCTCTCATCGTGTGGCGGGGGCAGGGCCGTCATGGGCGAGCCTGTCCCGGCACAGCGGTCTCCTCAGGGGATTCCCAGAGAGGTGGCCAGCGACTCTTCTGGGTATCACCTAACCTTGAATGGCCGCAGTTTGCCAGAGACCACAAATTAACGGAAAAAAACAAAATTTCCAAGCGGAGACTCTGGAAGCACAGAGGACAAAATGTGCTTTGGTTACAGACGCACAAACGGCCACGGAGCCCGTGCCTTGGAACGAGACATGGAATCAATAATTCCGAGCAATCAGAAGTGAGACATGGGAACTCCTGGACCTTAAGAAGGAAACGGTGGGATTCCTTTCTCTGAAGATCTTTAGTACTCTTAGAGGGACGCCCCACTGATGTTCAAGTGGTTCGCATGGGGTTCTCCCCACCTTGAGTCAACAGGTAAGACAAGGTAGCCCCAACCCGGCCTGACTGCCTGGGATCCATGAGACTACACCGGGAGTCAACCTTCCTGTAGAACCCGGTTCTCCCTCTCCTGGTTCCCGAATGCCTGATGCAGAGCCGAGTCTGGAAAATCTGAGTGATGCTGGTTTGGAAACGGAGTCGACAGTTCATTTCCAAAAGGTAGTTTCCAGTGTGGATACACCAACTGTGGGGCGGACCTGTGCTATCTGATATAAAAACAGAGACTCTGAGCGGGGCTGTCTGCTCCATGGGGCCAAGTCTCCCTGGCTGTCACAGGGCCCAGTATTTCCTTCCCGGAGGCAGTTCCTTTTGAGAAAGATGGGAGCTCTGCCAGTGAAGAGCCAGGGCCAAGTCTGGGGAAGGGAAAATTCTCAGGCATGTGGCGAAAGGGATGAGATAAGAAAAGACCATGAGAGAGGGAGGCTTGAGCAGCAGGTGGCCAGGAAACCCACCAGGAACCAGGCGAGCTCCTCTCCCCAGCACCCCCGGGAAGAAGGGAACTGGCGAGGTCCCCTGGAGCCTCAGGCTTGGGACAAAGGCAAGAGCATGGCAAGTTACCATCAGATGCAGTGGTATCTTGGTTGGTCCCTTGGCAGAAATCTTCTCCCACAGGCCCCTTCTAACGTAACGCACAGTCGTGCCTGCAATCTGGTACTCTCCAGGGAGCTCTATCTTCCAATCGCTGTTGATGGATCTCTTATTGGTATCTTTCAGAGCTAGAAAGAAAAGGGAACATCATGGAATCAGGGGGCGTCAGTCTGCCTTTTCAGGGGAATCTCAGTGTCCTGAGGGATGGATTGGAGATCTCCCTCTCCACCTCTACAGGGGAAGGGATGGAGGTCTACAGTGATAGAAGGTGAACTTTCTGGATGCTGACAACAGAAGTCTGGCTCACAGGGGGCAAACAGCTCAAGACCCGCAGGACCCTCTGAGACAGAATGCCAGGGGATGGAGACAAGCGCAGCCCAATCACATTTTACTAAACTTCCAGGGTAGAGGGTCTTCTGCCGGATGGATGAATTCTATTTTAACGCGTCGAACACTACAAAGAGGGGTTTGCTGCTTTAGCAAAACTCGTCAATTCATTTGACTGCTACCTACCTGGGGCTTTTTACACCTAATCCAGCTTCTCTTAAGGATTTGAGAGCCCCATGTTAGTAAAGTGGGGGCTCCTTCAAGAAAACAGTTGCTCTTCTATTAAATGGTAGAGTCTGGGAACCTGAGCCGACCACGGATGGGACAGTAGGGCTCGGACAATGCCACAAGGGTAGGGTTCAGTGGTCCTCGGGTTCATGCTCTGCGGGCTCACACCTCCACTCTGTACAGAATGTGTTGGAAGAAACAAAATCAACATTTTGTTGATTGGCCAGAGCAAAAATCTGCTTTTCCCTACAAGCCATGTATTGATTATCTGAGTGCTGACAGTGACTTTCTTGTGTCCCCTTCTGCAGTGAAATTCTGTGGTTTTTTTTGTTTCATTTTGTTATTTAGGAAAGACAAGAGCTAAGAGGTTCTGGCATTTGGGAGAAGGTCACAGATGATAGTAGGCTGACAACAAGTCTTCTGTCACTCAAACGATGAAACTCCCAGGACACCCTGGGGGCAATGCCTCCCTCTCTGCAAGGGCAGCTGGAGCCCTCCCATGCCCCAATGCCCCCAGTGTTCGCAATCGCTTTGGGACCCTGCTCGGTCCACAATCAGCAAAAGTGGGTTCCATCCCATTCCTTCCTCTTGGCTCCCAGAGGCCAGAAATAAAACACCCGCATTTCGTACCGATTGTGGATAATGAGAGTTGAAACCAAAAAGGGGTTTCTGTTAGCCTTGAATCCATGAGCCCCAAGGCTGGGTCAGGACCTGGTTGGACCTGGTCAGGCCACCAGCAGCTGGGCTGTCTCTAGGACATTTTGGTCCCAGTGCTTGTTCCCGCCCTGCCAGGCCGTCCTGGGGCACATGGAGGAGATGCATGCTCACAACTCCTTGCTTCTTTTTTTTTTTTTTTTAAGATTTTATTTATTTGTTTGAGAGAGAGAGAATGAGAGAGAGCACACGAGAAGGGGGAGGGTCAGAGGAAGAAGCAGACTCCCCACCAAGCAGGGAGCCCGATGCGGGACTCGATCCAGGGACTCCAGGATCATGACCTGAGCCGAAGGCAGTCGCTTAACCAGCTGAGCCACCCAGGCGCCCACGAATCCTTGCTTCTAGGAACTGCCAAGAGAAACTAGGAAAGAAGCAGGAAGGGTTGTTTTCCAGTAGAGCGACTTCTCGTCAGGATTTCATATCCAGGATGGTTGTGCAGAGTGAGTGGTGGAGGGTTAGAGGACTCCAGGGAAGGCTTAGAAAAGGGAAGGCTCTACCTCTTTGAACTGAACATTTCCCTTCAAGAAATTCTACCTGCTACTGAAATTTCCTGGCTATGAGAAGGAAGTGAGAATGTAAGGATACTCACAATCTCTGCTCCTTTGTCCCTTCCTCAGCCAAAACCTACCAGCCACCTTTCAAGGGGCATGTTCTTGGATTTAGCCTCTATATGTACTTTTACCCATTTACTCTTCCCAACAACTCTCTAAGGTAAAGCATTATCTTCCCCTTTTCACAGATGAGGAAATGGGGGCACAGAGAGGTTAAGTTATCTGCCTAATGTCACACAGCTATGAAGAGTGGACAACCTGAACCTAAACGCACCAAGCTCAGCACTCTCACTACTCTGGCAATTTAAATTCCCATATTCTTTAGGTTATAGCCTCCATCTAGAGTCTTATGACAAATGCAAGTGTCCTATTTGTTCCAAGAGAACACATTCCAGGCTTGAACTGCTGCTGGGTCTCATGTTCTATATACCCTTATAAAAATAACGCAACTCGCAGATTATTCTTTCTACTTCTCTGTAGGTTTGGAAAATTGTTTCTTGCACACATAAATTTGGTTTCAGAAATCAGTGCAGGCTGGTGGGATGGGGCAGACAGACACAGTGAGGGGCCAGAGTCCTCAAGGAATGGTTTCAGGAAGAACAAGTCAGACCGGGAAGCTCAGGGAGCAGCCGATATGTTCCCCCCTTTCTTCTCCCTCCCCCCGCCCCACCAGTCAGGGCCTCCTAGCTGGATGATGAGGACACAACTCCTGCCCTCAGCGAGCTCAACATTTGGAAGGGAGACAAGTGAGAAAACAGATAAACACAGCACAGCTTCATAGGCTCTGTGGCAGAGGTGAGTTCAGGGCCCGCATATGTATGTGTGGGACGGGGGCAGATGGGGAAGACTTTCTGGAAGAAAAGCAGAGGTGCCCTTGAGGTGAGACTGCAAGAAGAGCAGGGAGAAGAGGTGGCCTGGGCGTGCCTGGCAGGCATGGACTGTGGATCCTCACCCGGGGTGGCCATGATTACTCTTCCTAAGGCCACTGCTCTGTGTGGAGAAGCAAGTGGGAGGGGAAGCAATTTTTCCCCCCAGAAGTCTGGCTGGGAAAAGGAGGCGAGATGAAGAGTGGCTCTAAAGGGTGGAGAAGGGCAGAGAAGTTTCACTGTTCTTGTTATCGGGGTGGGAGACCTCGAGCATGTTGAGACCCCCTCCCCCACCCAGAACTTGGAGTTAGAGAGATGGGCAGAGTTTCTTTAGAGCTGTATGCTGACCACCACCATGCTTGGCCCACCCCCTAAAACCCACTTCCCACACTCTGGGGTGGCTGCTCTCCTTGTCACTGGTCACCCGCATGCACCAGCTGACTCTCCCACTCAGTGCCCTGGGCTGGGGCCTTGGGTTTAAGAGTTGGGGCCCTGACCTTGTTCTCATGTTATGGCTGTTGTGAATAGTGTGTTGGCTGCCTGGCATCTCTTTCTCTTTCTTCAAGTAACAACAGCCCAGAGTTTCCTTTGGGGGTATGTTCTTCCTCTAACTGACCCCAAATTCATCTCAGTTCCAGGTATGGGCCCATCACCCAACCCTGGACAGTGAGAGTCAGTTCTAAGACTTCCGTTCTCTTTGGGAAGAAGCGGCTTTCTTTCCACAGGATTGCCCAGAGACTCAAAGTAAATCTGGATTACCAGTGCATGGGAAGAGGCCCCTAGATTAAAGTCAACTGAGAGAGGACAGTGGTGCCAGGGTCGAGAGGGACAGTTTCCCATGATATCATTTTAAGCCCCTGGATCCAGCAGTGCCTGAAGCTGATGCTCAGCAACTGAGAACTGCATTTGGCTTTCACATGTGTCTTTTGAAGGTTGGGTTTTTGTTTGTTTGTTTTTGTTTTTTTAAATACTAACCATGATAGGGGCAGGGCAGCTTGGGAAAGAAGATTACTAGTATGGACTCCTAGAAACCACCCTAGGATCCTTAGCAGTGTAAGCTTTGTACCCTGAGATTTAGAAGACCTGGCCTACTCTATCGAGGCCTTAAACTGTCTCCTGAGCCTCTGCTCCCGTCTGGCACTAATGCCCAGGATGAGGTGGCTCTTTCTTACTGAGCCTTGTTTGTGTATTTCCTCGGCCCTTTGTGTAAGGCGCTGTAAAGTGACTTAGTGAATTATACAGGGAAAGCTACTATGCCTCCATGCCAAAAGTCAAACATCTGGGGGGGGGTCAAGACTGGGAAGGACTGGAAAATGTCCAGGAGGGCGCACCTGGAGGCGATTATAAAACCATCTGCAGAAACAGCGCGTAGAGGTGTGGGGGCCAGCCTGGGGAGCCCCGCTTCTGCCGGCAGAGGCACCCGCTGCGGCTGATCTAGGGGCCAGATGGAGAGCCAGCTGGGGCTTGGGGTATGCCAGCCTCCGATCACCAGAGCAGGGTCGTGCCTGTCAGTAGGGGGAAGTGCTGAGAGGGGCAGGTGGAGGAGACAGTGCAGGAGGTGGTCTGCAGGGGGGGGTCTGGGGTGGCTTGGATGAGCGGGTACTGGTCAAAGAAGAGGGGGAGGGGATGTGAGAGTGGCAGGCGGTGGCTGGCCAGTTAGGCCAGAACAAGGTCAGTGGCCAAACGGGGGAAGAACACGTCAGACAACGGAGCACTGGTAACCAGCTTGCTAGCGAGAACCTAGATTTACAGTAGATTTCCCACCATCCGAGTGACCCCAGTGAATGCAGAGCTCCTCCAGGCCATACACCACTGCTGAGGTGCCCCCAGGAGTTCGCAAAGCACCTGGCTTTGCTTTCCAAGGCCTGGCCTGGAGCTGCTGACTCGGGGAAGTCTCACACCATCACAGCTTTGGGGGTGTGGGCGGGGCTCTCATGGCCCTAGAAAGAATAAACTCACCTCCACGGCAGCTGCAAGCTTCCAGTCACTGCAAACGTGGCTTTTAAGTAATCTCTACACCCAACCTGGGGCTTGAGCTCACAACCCTGAGATCCAGAGTTGCATGCTCTACCAACTGAGCCAGCCAGGTGGCGCAAACGTGGCTTTACAACGGCCACTGGGCACCCCATCCTGGGGACAGTTTGATCTTGATGCCAATCCTTGACGAATTTTGCGGCGGGAGGAAAAACACAGAGGGAAACGTAGGGACTCAGCAATTCCACGAAGCACGGCAATCACTTCAAACCTACTGACTTTGGGTGAGGAATCTAGTCAGCAAGAGTCAGAAATCTGCAAGGTGCTGGGGTCCAGTGGTGGCACTGGGACTTCCTGTTAAGATGGGAATTTAGCATCTGAGATTCCTTCAGAAGGGCGGGACAGCCGCCTCAGAGAATCTCTTGGAACATCAAGATCATTATTAGTAGCAAATACATAGGTTCGGTGTAGAGTCCAATGAGAAGCCCATGTTGTGGGCCCAGGTCAGCTCCAGACGGTGAGAACACAGATCACCCCCTGGCTCACCGGCATCATTCTCCCTGCAAGGCTAGCTTCCCTCAGCAGGGTTTGCGAGAGCCGGTGGGGCAGCCCCTTGCCAGAGTCCTTTCCAAGGCCTTGTATGTAATGCTGCATTCTTTTTCTGAAAGAAGGCCCCAGAGTTAAGTAAGTTTCAGGCCCTGCAAGTTCCTGTCCCTCTCAATCCTGTGGCATGGAGGGTCTAGGCAAGCCCCCTGTGTCTGTAAGCAGGTTGAGGTTGGTTTGCATTTGAAATTAGGATTTTTAGGCCCAGAAATTCAACAGGGGCTATTGAAAGGATTACACATGCTTTGATTTGACTGGCAAATAATAAAGTGACCAACAAAGGGAAATCCTGAGTGACTTGATTTGATCTGTGCTGTCTGAAGTTTTGATTTGCTGGGGAGGAAATTTTTGCTTGCTGCTTCTGTCTGGGTCAGAGGCTGGATGTTTTAAGCCACCGTCCAAAATAGAATAGTGCTGGCTTTTGTGTATTTGGCTTAGAAGCCTTTAGGGGCCTCTAGCAGCTAGAGAGACTTCTGCAGGGACGAGGATGGGCACGAGCTCTCTCTTGCTCTTTTGCTCCTGTGGCAGAACAAAACCATTCTATCAAGGAATGACCCAGAACGTGAGGTCACGTGGCCAATGTCCATTTCCCTCCCGGGCCCCTCTTTCTCCCTGTGGACATCTATACATCGTCCCTGGACATCCAGGCACTGTGAGAAAAGATCCTGAGCCATTCTGGGGAGCAGAGGGACCGGGTAGGGGGGGAACATTCCTGCTGGGAGGGCGCAGCTCCTCCCTACAGCCAGCTGGAGGCAGACTGAAGAGGTCCGACCCCATCTGCAGGCTCTCCTCTTGCATGATGCTGTGCAGAAGCTGGGCTTCTTTTTGTCTTTCTCCCTCTTGGATTCCACTGCAAGACTTGACCCACAGTCAACCTACTTCTAATCCTGGCATCCCGTCAGTTCCTTTTATTTCCACTCCGGGTGCTGCCAGCTCTGTTCTGAGCTGCGGATGCAAACTGCAGCGGCGTTCCCTGGGCCAGGTGGTTTGGAGCTGAGAGCCAGGCAGCGTGGGCTGAAGGTAGGTGGGGAGAAATTCTTCGGGAAGGGCTCCCAGCAAATGTGAGGGAGTAATTCAAGGTTACACTGGGTTGACTTCCAAAGCACCCACAGCCCCGAGTGGAAACAAGGCTTGTTTGAACTAACTTTAGAAACATGACGAGTGTGGACCACCTTCGGATTTGCCCTCATTCACACACCAGGTCCTGGGCTCCTGGGACTAAAACGTAGGACTAAGATAAGAAGACCAAAGCTGGCTCCAAGCTCCCTTGGAGGTCCAGCGCTTTGGGGGAAGTTACACCGAACCCATCTCCTTGGGATGGAGATTTGCCTCCTTGAAGTCCACACAAAGAAGTAAAAGCAATGGGCACATGCAACACCTGTTCTCCAGTGAAAAGACATCCCCCTCTGCTGATATCAGGGCAATTCCAGGAGGCTCGTGAATGGCCGCAGACCCCAATGATACAAGGCATCTGGATAAGCTCCTGAATGAACCCCTGGAGCCTCCGTCTCGCCCTCAGTGAAATAGGCAAAGCAATACTTTGCAGTGGTTTTGGGGGTGGTGAGGAGTCAGGTCTGCAAAGCAAGGTAGGGCTCAATGCCTGGGAGCCACAAAGGTTGATGTTCATGCAGACCACAGGAGCCAAAAGGAACCAACGGGAGAGCCAGCCCCCCACGGGCAACACTCACTAGTTACGTGGCCCTAACACGGGTTCCAGGGAGAAGTTCATTTTTACTATAGGAATTAGAAGCTGGGCAATCTAAAGATGTCCATCGACAGATGAATGGATAAAGAAGATGTGGTATATATATACAATGGAATATTATGCAGCCATCAAAAGGAATGAGATCTTGCCACTTGCAATGATGTGGATGGAACTGGAGGGTATCATGTTCAGTGAAATAAGTCAAACAGAGAAAGACATGTATCATATGATCTCACTGATATGAAGAAGTCTTAATCGCAGGAAACAAACTGAGTGTTGTTGGAGTGGGGGTGGGGTGGGAGGGATGGGGTGACTGGGTGATGGACACTGGGGAGGGTGTGTGCTCTGGTAAGCGCTGTGAATTATGCAAGACTGTTGAATCTCAGATCTGTACCTCTGAAACAAATAATGCAATATATGTTAAGAAAAAAAAAGAAGAAGAAGAAGGTAGCGGGAGGGGAAGAATGAAGCGGGGGAAATCGGAGGGGTAGACGAAGCATGAGAGACGATAGACTCTGAAAAACAAACTGAGGGTTCTAGAGGGGAGGGGGGTGGGAGGATGGGTTAGCCTGGTGGTGGGTATTGAGGAGGGCACATTCTGCATGGAGCACTGGGTGTTGTGCACAAACAATGAATCATGGAACACTTCATCTAAAACTAATGATGTAATGTATGGGGATTAACATAAGAATAATAAAAAAAAAAAAGCTGGGCAATCTAAAGGATTCTGATATCCTTCTGTCCTTATCTTGCCACAGGAAAGTACAGATAACGTTCCGAATTTCAAGGGCCACCTGGGGCTGGGTCAGGGGCAGGAATGGTGCTGGGAAGTCTGGGAAGCCCGGACCGGAAGCCAAGGGACTCGCTTGCTGGGGCACCTGCTGGCGCTCTGATGGAAGAACCAAGCAGTTGACCTTGGAACGGTGCCAGCTCCTGGGATAGTGAGATCACGTCAAAGGCAACGTCTGCCACCCACCAAGGCCCGGTGCCCCCCAGGGAGCAGAAATGTCCCTCCCAGGTAGGTGAGGGCTGATGTATCCAGTCGGAAAGGGTAACTTTTGGGGGTGACACTGGGTGACTGGGCTTCCAAAGCAAATGCTGGTGAGGTTGACCCAGTTTCCTCAGTTGGGCAGAGAGGGGGTGGGCTCTTTGGGAATTTAGTAAAAAAGGCCACCTCTCTGCAGAAGCTGCGAAGAGCACCAGTACCACAAGGCTACTTTAGAAAGCATGTATAAGCATCGTTCTATCTGCAATGATAGCTGGGGCAACTGCAGACAAGGGTGCCAGGCTAGACTGGGACAGCGTCCATGCTGGGGGTTGGGTAGCAAAGCCACAGAGGCTGATGAGAGCCATGTGGGTGTCAACCTAAGGGATGGTAAGGTCCTACCCTGGTAGCAGGAGACACAGTGGCCTCAAGGAGGCGGGGTGGACAGCAGGAGAGAAAGCTGCAGAGGAGGGGACAGGGCTGCTTGGGACACAGTAGGGACCCCAGGGGGCTGGTGTGGGCACTCAGGAACAAGAACTCCCGGCCCCACTCCTGCCTCTCCCCAAAGCGCGTGTGTGAGGATTAGCTCGGTGTCTGCAAACGGTTCTTATAGGATGGTGGTCTTCATTGTAAACTTGCCTTCTACAGGTTTGTTTTATGTCTGTCTAATCAGACTTTGAGTTTCTTTCTTTTTTTCAAAGATTTTATTTATTTATTTGGGAGAGAGAGAGAGAACAAGCACGAGCAGGGGGAGAGACTGAGGGAGAGGGAGAAGCAGACCCTCTGGTGAGCAGGGATCCTGACCCGGGGTCTGATCCCAGGACCCAGAGATCATGACCTGAGCTGAAGGCAGATGCTTAACCGACTGAGCCACCCAGGTGCCCTAGACTTTGAGTTTCTCAAGCAGGGACCATTTCAAAGAAAGACTTAGATCCTTCCATATCTATGAAGGCAGGAATGTGGACAAAGATGTAATTTTTTTTAAAAATCAGTGATAAAAGGTGAAATGAAAGCATTTTGTGAATAACTTCATTTCAGCCAAAACTACTTAATTCTTAAGTTTGAAGCCAGAGATTGAGAGAGAGAGAGAGAGAGAGATCATGTCCTATATATTCTTGTCAATCTCAAACAGAACCTTGCCATACAGACTGAGGAGATTATAATAGGAGGAAGCCCAGAAGAAGGGTACCTGGGTAGGAGATCAGCCACCTCCAATTTGAAATCTAACCCAAGATAGAACATAGGAGGAGGGCTGGTGGGAGGACACGGGTCACAGCATGTCCCAACCCAGTGAACTATGAGTAGAGGCAATCGTTAGGCACCCTGCTCGTCCCCATAGCAGCATACAGAACATTTAGGGCTCAACCCACGTACCAGGCAGACCTTTGCAAGGGCCAGTGGAGAGACTGGCCATTATGCTTAGGATACACTCAGAGAGACTTCGGTGGCTAAGAAGGGGTTCAAGTGAATAATTCTTAGGGCTTAAAGTATGGTTCTGTTGAAGGCAATGAAGACCAATCTGGAATGGAACCCCATCCTTCCATAGAAAGACACAGGCATTTGTGCCTGGTCAATAGAGTTGGCCACTAGGAATTTGGGGTACACAGCACTTAGTGAAAACCAGTGTTCTTTTGTGCTCCCATTAGATCTAGGACTATTACTCGTTTTTTCCAGCTAAGAAATCATCCCCAGAGCCATCAACGGCTGGGCAATGTGTCCATGCTGTGCAGGCTAAAGCTGCTCTGGGTTCTCCTGGGGTAACTATGGGGGACTTTCGCTACCCCAATTCCTCGCTTCCTTCCTACTGATCCCCCCCCTTTCCCCATCCACCTTGCGGGGTGGCTACACTTCAGCCAAATCGGACAGGATCATATGGTGCACTGTGATTACTTCTATCGTTATACCTCGGATACAAGTATAAAACCCACGGCCTGGGAGAATGATGCTGGACCACATAATCAGCCTGATCATCCAAATCTCAGAACATAAATCATGAGTCAGATTCTTTTTGTTTTACCTAGAAAACTGTGGGCAGGTTTATCCTCCACCACGCGAATCCTCCGAGCTCCCGCCGGAATGATAGCAGCTTCAATATAACCTGTGGTGTCAGAGAACAGAAAGGTGAAGCATGCCTCCACCCCCAGCAGAGGCCCACACAAAACTCCCTACCAAAATCCCCCCCCCCCACCCCCCAACCCACTCCCATGGTGATTTCAGAGCCTGCTGCTGGCCCGGCTCTAAAAAATCAACTAACAAGGAGCGTTCTTCTATGGCCAGAACCTCCAGGCTGCCCAAATTCCAGGGAGCACCACTCCTGTGTGTCGAGAGTTGAATTGTGTCTCCCCCACCCACCCCCATTCTTAGGTTGAAGTCCTAATTCCCACTACCTCACAATGTGACCTGATTTGGAAATTGGGCCTTTGCAGATGTGATTCGCTACGATGAGATCCCACTGGAGTAGGGTGGGCACTTTATCTTATAAAGGGGGAATTCGGATGCAGACACACACACACACACAACTCCTTGGAAGCAGAAAGCAGAGATCAGGGTGATGCATCTACAAGCGAAGCCACCAGAGGCTAGGGGAGAGGCATGAAGCAGATTCTTCCTTCCAGCATTCTGAAGGAAGCAACCCTGCCCACACCTTGATCTTGGACTTGTAGCTTCCAGAGCCATGGGACACGAATGGTCCATTGTTTATGCCACTCAGGTTGTGGCACTTGGTGACAGAGGCCCTTACAGACTGAGACAGCCTGGAATCCTGTGGGACAGCCCCTCCCTGGAGCACAAGGGCAGCGTGCCCCTGACCACTCCATCTGCGGGAGGTTCCTTTGGGCTTTGCTGTACTCTGAGCCCCAAATCCATGGAATGATGGCAGAAGCTAAGCTCCGTGCCCAGTGGCAAAACCACTTCTTAACACACAGTGCGTCATTGCCTGCTTCCACTGATCTCTGGGCATTTCTGCAACTCTCCCAGTGCATGCTTTGTCTATCTCCTTGAGTATTTCCAACTAATACAGGAGGTCCTCAGAGGCCTTCCTCTGCCCATCCTCTGACCCCACATGTGCCCAGACAGTGGGGGGATAATGAAGATTCAGGGAGGGTATGACCGAGGCTGCCGGACAGGAGGTCAGCCACTGGCTACCGCCTGGTTAACTGGGTCAATAAATGAGCCAAGCACTATGGTGAGATTTTGAAATGCAGGCTGGTAATCATTTTGTTTTGATTTTCATTTGGGTTTTAGACAAGGGTTATATGTGTTTGCTTCAGCAATTTAGATGATGATCCCAAATTAGATTGTGAATCCTTCCCCTGTGGTTCCTAAATGTGATCCTCAGAGTCAGCAGGGGAGCATTAAAAAGGAGAGCTTTCTGAGCCCAGCTATGTAGAGATTATGGAAATACCTATTTGTGTGAGGTTGGTTTATTTCCTCATTTTCTCACGGTAAAACGAGCCTTATTTTTATTATAAAAATAGTACATGATAATTCAAACCACAGAAGGGGGAAAAAAAAGCAAAGCAAGATGAACCCGTACCATGTTGCATTACAGAAATTATCCCTAAAAAGCCAAAATTTTGGAGACTAGCCTTTTCAGCATCTATTAATGCATATAAAAATACATATACCATTTTACATGAATAGGTTATCATATGGAGTTTTAAAAGAGCAGGGACAACTTTAAAATAATTAGAGTTTTGCTAGGCAGTATGTGCCCAAGGTACAAAATTCAAGTTACAAAAGGTTATAGTAGAGGGGCGGAGCAAGATGGCAGAGGAGTAGGAGACCTGGATTTCGTCTCCTCTCAGGAATTCAGCTGGATAGGGATCAAACCATTCTGAACACCTACAAACTCAACAGGAGATCGAAGAAAAGAAGAGCAACAACTCTCTCATCAGAAAAGCGACCACTTTCTGGAAGGTAGGACGTGTGGAGAAGTGAATCCGAGGCGATATTCGGGAGGAGAGACTGTGGGGGAGGGGCCTCCGTCGGCCGCTTCTGGCAAGTGATAGAGCCGCGGAGCACAAAATTGGAACTTTTAGAAGTCTGCTCCGCTCAGGGACGTCACTCCGGTGGCTAAGCGGGGGGTGGAACCCTCCGGGACAGTGTGGTCTCAGGACCCTTGGGGTCACAGAAAGACCGGGGGTGCCTGAGTGTGGCAGAGCTCCCAGGTAACGGATCAGGGAAGCCGGATGCAGAGGCAGAGCCCAGGCGCGGGCTCTTAGCTCAGGGTTGCCATAAACCGTGATCCGCAGCACAGTCGGGCCCCTGTTCCTCCAGCAGGGACCCAACAAGCAGCAGATCCGGGGAGATTCACCTTCCTCCCCCGGGAGGAGCCGCGCGGGAGTGGACCGCAGGGATCTGCTGGGTTTGGAGACTCCACCCGGGGTCGGGTGCCAGAACTCAATCACAAGAGGAAAGTCGGAAAGAACTCAAATACATGGAGGCTAAAGAGCAATCTACTAAAGAATGAATGGGTCAACCAGGAAATTAAAGAAGAATTTAAAAAACTCTTGGAAACCAATGAAAATGAAAACACAACTGTTCAAAATCTTTGGGATGCAGCAAAGGCAGTCCTAAGCGGCAAGTATATAGCAATACAAGCCTTTCTCAAGAAACAAGAAAGGTCTCAAATATACAACCTAACCCTACGCCTAAGTGAGCTGGAGAAAGAACAGCAAATAAAGGCCTAAACCCAGCAGGAGAAGAGAAATCATAAAGATCAGAGCAAAAATCAATGAAATAGAAACCAAAAGAACAGTAGAACAGATCAACAAAACTAGGAGCTGGTTCTTTGAAAGAATTAACAAGATTGATAAACCCCTGGCCAGACTTATAAAAAAGAAAAGAGAAATGACCCAAATCAACAAAATCATGAATGAAAGAGGAGAGATCACAGCCAAAACCAAAGAAATACAAACAATTCTAAGAACATATTATGAGCAACTCTATGCCAGCAAATTAGATAACCTGAAAGAAATGGATGCATTCCTAGAGATGTATCAACTACCAAAACTGAACCAGGAAGAAATAGAAAACCTGAACAGACCTATAACCACTAAGGAAATTGAAGCAGTCATCAAAAATCTCCCAACAAACAAAAGCCCAGGGCCAGGTGGCTTGCCAGATGAATTCTACCAAACATTTCAAGAAGAATTAATACTTATGCTTCTGAAACTGTTCCAAAAAATAGATGGAAGGAAAACTTCCAAACTCATTTTATGAGGCCACCATTACCTTGATCTCCAAACCAAAGACCCCATTAAAAAGGAGAATTACAGACCAATATCCGTGATGAACATGGATGCAAAAATTCTCACCAAAACACTAGCCAATAGGATCCAACAGTACATTAAAAGGATTATTCACCACGACCAAGTGGGATTTATCCTTGGGCTGCAAAGTTGGTTCAACATCCGCAAATCAATCAAGGTGATACAATACATTAACAAAAGAAAGAACAAGAATCATATGATCCTCTCAATAGATGCAGAAAAAGCATTTGACAAAGTACAGCATCCTTTCTTGATCAAAACTCTTCAGAGTACAGGCATAGAGGGTACATACCTCAATATCATAAAAGCCATCTATGAAAAACCTACAGCGAATATCATTCTCAATGGGGAAAAACTGAGAGCTTTCCCCCTAAGGTCGGGAACACGGCAGGGATGTCCACTATCACCACTGCTATTCAACATAGTATTGGAAGTCCTAGCCACAGCAATCAGACAACAAAAAGAAATCAAAGGCATCCAAATCGGCAAGGAAGAAGTCAAACTCACTCTTTGCAGATGATATGATACTTTATGTGGAAAACCCAAAAGACTCCACCCCAAAACTGCTACAACTCATACAGGAATTCAGTAACATGGCAGGATATAAAATCAATGCACAGAAATCAGTGGCATTCCTATACACCAAGAACAAGACAGAAGAAAGAGAAATTAAGGAGTCGATCCCATTTACAATTGCACCCAAAACCATAAGATACCTAGGAATAAATTTAACCAAAGAGGCAAAGGATCTGTACTCAGAAAACTATAAAATACTCATGAAACACATTGAGGAAGACACAAAGAAATGGAAAAACGTTCCATGCTCATGGATTGGAAGAACAAATATTGTGAAGATGTCAATGCTACCTAGAGCAATCTACACATTCAATGCAATCCCCATCAAAGTACCATCCACTTTTTTCAAAGAAATGGAACAAATAATCCTAAAATTTGTATGGAACCAGAAAAGACCCCGAATTGCCAGAGGAATGCTGAAAAAGAAAAGCAAAGCTGGCAGCATCACAATTCCGGACTTCCAGCTCTATTACAAAGCTGTCATCATCAAGACAGTATGGTACTGGCACAAAAACAGACACATAGATCAATGGAACAGAATAGAGAGCCCAGAAATGGACCCTCAATTCTATGGTCAACTAATCTTTGACAAAGCAGGAAAGAATGTCCAATGGAAAAAAAGACAGTCTCTTCAACAAATGGTGTTGGGAAAATTGGACAGCCACATGCAGAAGACTGAAACTGGACCATTTCCTCACACCACACACAAAAATAGACTCCTAATGGTTAAAAGGCCTCAATGTGAGACAGGAGTCCATCAAAATCCTAAAGGAGAACACAGGCAGCAACCTCTTCGACCTCAGCCACAGCAACTTCTTCCTAGAAACATCGCCAAAGGCAAGGGAAGCAAGGGCAAAAATGAACTATTGGGACTTCATCAAGATAAAAAGCTTTTGCACAGCAAAGGAAACAGTCAACAAAACCAAAAGACAACCAACAGAATGGGAGAAGATATTTGCAAATGACATATCAGATAAAGGGCTAATATCCAAAATTTATAAAGAACTTATTAAACTCAACACCCAAAGAACAAAAAATCCAATCAAGAAATGGGCAGAACACATGAACAGACATTTTTCCAAAGAAGACATCCAAATGGCCAACAGACACATGAAAAAGTGCTCAACATCGCTCGGCATCAGGGAAATCCAAATCAAAACCTCAATGAGATATCACCTCACACCAGTCAGAATGGCTAAAATTAACAAGTCAGGAAATGACAGATGTTGGCGGGGATGCGGAGAAAGGG